TGAACCCGTTGGGTCTCTCTGGCAAGATGTTCTGCTCCTGAATCAGCTGGGTGGGTCTTGCCTCTAGCCTCTTTGCAGGGAGTTCTGCTGAAGGGTTCTGTGCTGGGCCTGCACTCTGGGTCGAATGAGGATCCACGGGCCCGGGTAGTCTCACTCACTCACCGGGCCAGGCTTCTGGGTCTATTCAGGATCCCACCAGCCTCGGGTCGGTTCACTCACTCACAGGGCCTGCGCTGTGGGTCTAGTCAAGATCCTGTGGGTCCGTGTTGTCTCGCTCGCCGGGCCTGCGCTCTGGGTCTGTTCAGGATCCCGCGGCCCCAGGTCATCTCACTCACTCACCGGGCCCGCGCTCTGGGTCTGTTCCACTTATTGTATTAAAAAATCATTGGAACATGAAGCTGGAGCTCACAGCTGCTTTGGTTTTCTCTGCAGCGCAGCATAACCATGGTTCAGGTGTCATACAAAAATAAAACCAAGAAAAATAACAGATTCACATGGTGTGACATATACATGCAAAGAAAACATACAGGGTAGGAAAAAAATTTGACCAACTCTCCCTGAGACAAAGACTTCTCTTTAGAACATTTAACAGATTGAAAAAAATCAGGTCCCCAAAATACCAAAGACCCAGTGTAAAAAATGGGCATCTGACAGAAATACAAACTTCTCAGAAAATCAAATACAAATGGCAAATAAGTATATGAAAATATGTTAAGCATCACTGATCATTCAAGAAATGCAAATGAAAACAACAGAGAAATATTGCCTCATCCCAGAAACAATGGTTATCATGAAGAATTCAACAAATAGTATATGCTGGTGCGGCTGTGGTGAAAACAAACCCCTTCTCCAGTGCTGGCTGGAATGCAGACTGGTGCCACCACTGTGGAAATTGGTGTGCTGCACCCTGGCGTCAAGAGAGAGCAGAGGAGGCTTCCAGGAGAGCTCAAAGCACTCTGTTAGTTCACAGGGTAATGGTTTCACGGATGAGTGCATGGGCACAGCTTAGCTGACTGTGAGAGTGAGATCGACAACACCTGCTAGCATCCCAGGGACGCACTCTAGCCAGCTGGGTGATGATCTTGCCGCAGTCCCATTTCCTTCCATACTCCTGTCTCTGTCTCTCTCTGGGGCTGGGAATGCTTATCCCGTGCCCTTGTGGTCAGTATTGTTTATCTTCTTTGTGATACTTATAGAGGCTCAAACAAGAGGTTTTGCTTTGGGTCTAAGAGGACACTTTGAGCTCAGATACTTCAATGCTGCTGGAACTATTCAGATTTTGGAGACTCTTAGGAAGGAGATAAGTGTATTTTGCACATAGTGGTATGCAGGAGTCTTTGGAGGGACAGAGGAGAAACATCTTGGCTTGTATCCAGATGTCTGCAAGGCTTTGTGTGCTTGTAGTTGGAGCTCACAGCTGACTTACTGTTAGGAGATGGAATGTTCTGAGCAATGAATTAACTTTTCCTGACCTCCAAACTGTGGACTACAGATGCAGAAAAATTGAGGCTTTAAGGTTCTAGTCCATATTCTTACAAAGAGTGACAGCTGCACTCACAGACAGGCTCACCCTGCTGAGAGGCTGTGGGCTTTTGTTCCTACCTCACGGGAGTCCCTCCCCACCCCCAAGGCCTGGGATCCAGGGCACTTCCATCCTGAGTGCTCTGGCTTGGCCTGTGCTGTGGTTTCCCTCCCGCCAGTCCCATTTGTCCTTCTTCCATCTGCACTCCTCTCCGCACTTACTCATGGTCCTTTGTGGTCTCAGGACCATAATACAGGACAACTTGCTCAGCAGTTCTCTCTACAGTGAAGCTCATCTCTGGGTGAGTCTATAACAGCCTGCATGTCCATACCTGCTGTCTGATCCAGCTCCTTCTGTGGATCAGAGCTTCTTAAGTGAATGACCAAATATGCACCAATTCAAGTATTTTTACCTCCAACACTATAGGCAAGGAGTGTCCCTGGGACGTGGACAGGTGGAGGGTGCATCTCCTGCCCGGCTTCTTCTTTTGTTCCTTTTCGCTTCCTGGGGTCATGCCCTGAGCTGCTCTTCTCTGTGCTGCTCCTGTGCCGCAGCAACCTGCCTTGGAGCTGGCCTAGGACAAATGGAGTCACCTGCAAACTAGAAGCCGACATAAATCTCTCCTTCCTCTCTTTCTTTTATTGTTTTAAAGACAGAAACCAGCAACATAAACCATACAGAGTTTCAATATAAGATGATAGGAAGTTAACAAGGATTATTATATTTCATGTGGTTATCTTCTAAGTAATTGGAAACTCGTGCACCTAAAATGGAAAATAGAAGTTGCATTTCTCAAACTTGACAGGGATACAAGGAACTGTATTCAGGGGATGCTATGTGCAGGATTGAGCAGTAGGAAAGAAAAGTAACAGGGCTTATATTTAACTTTCCACAGGGCTGCGGAGCACGCAGGTCGCTGAGGCGGAGGCCCCCAGCGCCGTCCTGTAGCCCCCTGGCGGTGAGGCTGTGTGCTCTCCTGGTCCACAAGGACGAGCCCTGCAGAAGGCCCTCCAGCCATGCGCTACGGAGGGCCAGATTCATCTGGTGGAGTCACCAAGGGAATGAAAAGTCCAGGATAATGTCCTGGAAAGGGAGGTTCAGTGTAAAAGTACGGCCTCAGGGACTGAGTGAACCTGCCTGTGAAAGTGTGGAGCAGGGTAAGTTGCTTCACGTCATAGAAAGAGATCGATCCTTCCTCATATTTCAAAAAAATCCCCACTACAAAAGGATGTTCTACAACCTTAATTTCATCAGGGGATAGAGAAAGAGCTTCATAGTCATCATGAGTCCTGTCAATGGTCCAAAACCCATTCTCAGGATAAATATCCCCAAACTGTGCTTCCCTGCTGACCGAATCCGAGCACACTCCTATCGTCCACATCTTGTTCCCGCCTACGTCCACCTCCCAGTAATGGTTTCCCCTGGAGAAGCGGTTCCGACCCAGCACGGCTGGGAGTGAGGTAAACCTTGCAGGGCTTTCAGGAACTCTCCGCTTCCTTGGCAAACACTGCACACGTTTTCCAGCTTCTGACACCATGAGCTGAGGGTGAGCCGTGTCTTCATCCAGAACCACGTCTTCTGCAGAAGAGGAGACCCGCTACTTGAGCCCCTGAGCACGGAGCTTCCGACCCTGTGAGCGCTGACAGAAAAGGCCTGAGGGGCGCAGCGCAGGCCCAGGAGTCCTCTCCGAGCCCACGGCCGTGACCATCCAGACTGCAGGGCTGGGGATATCTAATCTCAGGGAAACTTCTCCACTTCACTGCAACTCGGGAGCTGATGTGTGCTGTCACCTCAGAGGTCGCCAGGACGCGGCTGGCCAGAATGGGGACATGAGGCCGACACCCGGGAAAGGTACTATCACGGGCCTGGGGCTCACGGGGCTTCCTAGGTTCTCCCTTAGGGGAGCTGCATCCACAAGCATAGAGGAAAACTGCGATGGAGGGCCTGGAAGCAACACGGGGACAGCAGCCCAGAGCAGGAGGTGAGTGTGCTCAAGGGGAGGGACTAGGCGGGGCAGGGAGGGGCAGGGAGGAGGAGAGAGGAGCTTATGGAGGGGCAGGGCCCGGGGAGGGCCGCCGGGGTCAGCGGGGCCGTGCTTAGGGCTGGGCCTTCCTGGGGCCATAATGGAGGAGAGTGAGGAGGTGGACGCTGGAGGGAACGGGGATGCCCAGCTGTTTATTAGGAGAGCGAGAAGGACCGTAAGGTCCAGTGGAGGAATCCACCCAGCACCGCTTCCTGCTGACCGCTTCCTCTGCAGGAGAAGAGC